GTATTGACTTCGGGGAGTGTGGAACAGCGACAGGTTGGAATTAGGAGTCAACAGTATGACCCCGTCCGCCAATTTTATGTCGTTCAAATGGAGGAAGAGCTGATGAAAGGTCAAACGTACACTCTGCAAATGGAATTCCTTGGTTACCTCAACGACCAGCTTCGTGGCTTCTACAGTTCGTCTTATAAAGGCATCAATGGAGAAATAAAGTAAACCATTATGTATATTTCTTCTAAGTGTATGTGATTGTCTGATTAAGTCATATCATCCCTGCTTGAGATAAGGATTTAACATACATACCAATATCAACAATTTACAGAAATATTAAAGAAAGCAACTTACATAATAACTCGATTCTTCCGTTATTGATGTACACATAAGTACATATAGATACGGATGAATATACAGTCAGTAATGCAGTTTTTCTCCAGTGACGCGATTAACAGAGCATGAATAGATCCAAAAGTTTTTCTCCATAACCAATGCCACTGTCTCTGATGTTATAGATATTAGACAGCCATTTTCTACTTTGCCGTGATCGACTTCTTCATTTTTTATTTTGCCGTTTTTTATAGTTTTACAAAAGACAGCACAAGTACGACAAGCCATTTAAACAACAAGACGAGCTGAGGTTTTCATGATAATTGACATTCCATTCGACAGCGAGTTCAATTGTTTTCAAACAACGCATTTGAAAAGTGAAAATCAAAAAGGATTGCAGAATGTATCGGCTACTTAAATGGTATTCCATGATTAAGAATGTACTTGTTTGAATACAGTCCATCACCGAGTGTAATATAAACAAGTGGTCGAAAAAATACATTAGCTAAATAGTAATATAAACAAGTGGTTGGTTATGATATCAACTATGTATTGTTATAATGGACTGATATTTGGGGACATGTTTTAGGGGCCTTGTACAATAAGATCTGACAGATGCACATGGAAAATATACGCAAGATTGTAACCGCCAGGTATCTGGCCGTGACGAAGTTCCAGCCCACGGACGCCCGCCGCGCCTTCCCGTGCTTCGACGAGCCAGCCCTGAAGGCGACCTTCGAGGTCCACCTGGCGAGGGAGACCTGGATGACGTCGCTCTCCAACATGCCCCTCGCCGAGACTCGGCCTGTGTGAGTATCGACGAATGATGAGTTCAGATTGTATCTCATTACCCTTGAGCAGGTCATCCTTCAGTAACAGTGACATCTACAAAAACAGTGAAGTCAGAGTGGCTGGGTGTGGGACTGTTTCCATAACAGCGTCAAAATGTCCACCAGCATCGTCGCCTTCGCCACCTTGGATCTCGTCCACCACAGAAAGCGTCACTCCCTTTCGAGGTGAGAATGCCTTCGAGGCTTTCCTTTTGGAACGTTTTTCCATTGCTAAAACAAATGCTTCCTTTTCAAATCACACACCAACCCCCAGACTCCCCACAGCTTCTCGCTTTCATTGCCAACAGTGTGGGCACCGCCGTCGGCCATTCAGAAAGCAGAATATGGCAGTAAAATCGATCCACAGATTCTGGCATTCTACGAGGATTACTTCAATGTGCCTTACTTGCCGGTTTCGAATATATCTTCGCAACCGGTCAAATACATTCTCATTCATACCTTTCTACATTCGTCAACATTAATACGGTTCAGGCATCTTACTCTCCATGCAGGTTCCCCACTTCACCTTCCAGAGATACAATACTGTTATACGATCCTTTACACGCCAAGAAAAAGGTTATTAACACTGTGGCTCATGAAGTGGCTCACCAGTGGTTCGGCAACCTGGTCACGCCCCGCTGGTGGGACGACCTCTGGCTCAACGAGGGATTCGCTACTTTCGTGGCTTATTCGCAACTTTTCATGTACGTCTAAATTGAGAAAAGGGAGATTTGTGTGAATATGTGAAACTGCTATATTTCCTGACAGATAGGTATGTAGGATAAAGGGAAATGCGCATGTACTTTTAGGTGCACATATATGATGTATATGTGTAAAAAGAGAATGTATGTACACACACTCAAACACATACACATGCACACGCACGCACAGACATACAAACACATAACAAACAAGACACAGAGAGAAAGAGAGATTCATACATATCCAAATACATATATATATATAGATATTCATACATATAGTTATACATATACATATATTTATACAAATATATAGATATAGATACACACACACACACACACACACACACACACACACACACACACACACACACATATATATATATATATATATATATATATATATATATATATATATATATATATATATATATATATATATATATATATATATACTGTATATACTTGTATATACAGGATGTATATATGTGTATGTATATATATATATATATATATATATATATATATATATATATATATATATATATATATATATATATGCATATATGTGTGTGTGTGTGTGTTTGTAAAAGGGAAAATAAAATATAAAACTTTTTTTTCCTTTTTTATTGGAACAAGCAGATTAAACACCAAAGATCATATCAATGAGTATATAAATAGAAGGGAATTTAGATTCTTAAAACGTAAACCAACAACGTATGGGCTCTTTTGCAACAGAAATATGTATTTTCTAGATGTATATATACTTTTTATATACATAATGTAACATTGTATTCGCATCCCTTAATGTTGCAACGTATTTACCGAAATCTAAACTGCTCTACGGATAATCATGCGGTCTTAATTGCAGCGAGATAAATAATAAGTTAAATGACATAGCATAATCATCAAACAATTCCTTTAGTGTTGCTAAATAGGGGTCAGTTGTCAGCTGCTTAGTATAACATAGTTGGATATACATGCATACATAGATACATGGAAACATGTATTTGTGAGTGCGTTTTCAGGAGCCGAGCCCGCGTGTGGCCGAGCGCCCGTGCGCGCGCGTGTGCATGTGTGTGTGTGTGTGTGTGTGTGTGTGTGTGTGTGTGTGTGTGTGTGTGTGTGTGTGTGTGTGTGTGTGTGTGTGTGTGTGTGTGTGTGTGTGTGTGTGTGTGTGTGTGTGAACAAAAAGAAAATCTGACATGCCCGATGACCTTCAAGCAAAACCTAAGGAAAGGCGAGGACGCAGATGACCCTAAGCGACCCTGAGCTTCGAGGAGTAGCCGTTCTCCTCCAGCCACTGGACGATGACGTCATAGTTGGCGTCCATCCAGGCGATGTTGTTTCGGACTTTCTCTTCGACCTGCTGGACGCTCCTCTGGTTCCCCTCCAAGGACACGCCGCTCGTTACGAAGGACTCGACCTGAAGAGTTGAGTTAAAGATTCGCCATGATGGCCGGAGTTTATTTCTCACGAGTTGAAGAGTGATTTTCTGGTTCGGAAGGGAGAGGTCGAAGGCGAAGAAGAGGAAAAGGAAGAGAAAGAAAAAGACAGAAAAAGAGAAGAGAAAGAGAAGAGAGGCAGAAGTATGTTGGTATATTGCATTTACATTGATTTGAACATATGTGTTATTGTTGTTGTAAAAAAAAATCGGAATGTTGTGCTGGAAAAAGCGCGCCTCAGATGACGCAATCATCCCCATTCGTTGGTTATTTTCTTGAGGCAAGAAGATTGAACTGTCTTGATGCATTGTAAGGATGTTTGTGTTTTTTTTTTTTAATTTTAAACAAAAGTTTGGTTTATAATAGCAGCATATTTCTATCAGACGTCGCTTTATATAAAAGCGAGTAACACATTAGCATTTTACATCAATTCTAAAATAATGAATTCTCTCCCGAGATTTCAGATTTTGAACAATGTATTCGAAATCAAAGCAGCTCATAATGGAGTGTAGTAAAGTTATTATATATTTTTGGCCTTTAATCATAATCGTGTCCGTTTGAGGAAAGCAAGTAAGGGTAATCTTTAATTTTATCCAGGAACAGTTAACCACAGAAAGGGGCAACAAATTCATAATTCCTTTCCTCCTAATAATATGCTTATCATCATTATTGTTATGACTTTTCATTTTCTTCTCATTTTTATATAATAATAATTATTTCCATCGTAATCATTTTTGTTATCCTTATTATTATTTGTAGTAGTAGATCATTATCTTTATTGTTATTATCATTTTTAATAATTATTATGTTATTTTTCCGAGGAACTTCATACGCAATGAGTCCATTATAGCAACGACAGGTGCCAGTTTACAAATGCAAACACTTCAAGTGTAGACGAATATTCGACCTTACCTTTTCAAGTTCCTGTTTTGTATTGAAGGGTCCCGTAATTTGTTTCATTAATTCCCCTCTCTTCTTCTTCTCTCTATGAAATGTAAAAGTAATTCAGTTTGCGTTAGTTAATATCATATGTAGCTTTGCAGAGCAGTTTGCATTCCCGAATTTATCTATTTATCATTCTATTATATTTTCTTTTAGGAATATATTATTTGGATGTATTAATTTTATAGTCATAGACTATCATTATATCACAGGCTAATGATATGCTTATATTGCATGCTCAAGAAGGTGGAAAAGAACTTACAATGCATAGATATCGTTCCAGTTAAGTGTGAGGTAGTCCCATACCAAGGGGCGTCCCACATCATTGGTAGCGACGTTTCCTAATACAACCATTACATCTTGCAGTCTTAGGCCACTGGTGGTGTTAATGGCCATTTCAAGGTACCTAAAAAGCGCGTTGGAATGACGTAAGTAATATATAAAAAAATAGTACAAAAGAATACAAACTACTCTCTCTCTCTCTCTCTCTCTCTCTCCTCTCTCTCTCTCTCTCTCTTTTCTCTTCTTTCTCTCCTCTTTTCTCAGTCTGTCTTTTTCTCTTCCTCGACATGTGACATTTTACCTAGAGAGGATCCAAGATTCTTCAGTGCAGGCCATAGCGGAGAGAAGGAGCGTCTTCTCGCTGGCGACGTTGGTCTTCAAGTACTGCTCCCAAGCGAAGTCCCACTCGGCCTCCCCGCCCTCCTTTATGGCGTGGCAGTACACCGTCCATTTAAGGTTTGATGGAATAAGGCTGGAAT